CTGAACTGCAGATAACAGTCAGCTGAAGTGGCCTGCAGTACTGCACCCTAACCACTGCGCCACCTTGGCTCAATGAAGTAGTCTATAATTGCAAAGTTAGATACATAAAGAAATAAATGGACACTTCATATTGCTCTCTTTAACTTGCATTGCCAGGAATAAATGCTGCAGCCAGTTAAGTTATCCTATGCTTGATTATTGTGGTTAAAAGTTGGTTTGGTTGAATCTAATTATATTGTCTGATAACATTGTAAAATGTTTTGGAAAAAAAAGTGACAGGTTCAAACTCTATCTCCTTCTGACTGTGTAAGAAAAGAAAATAGGGAAAACATATTAAGGCTAAAGCTCATTGTGGTTCATTCTCAGCGTGCTGTGTAATAATTTGATGTGATGTGCTTCATGATTTTTGTGTTGCAAGTTTCCTTGTGTCTTTTCTATATAATGTTTTAAACTACTTTTTTTTAGAAATGATATTCTTTTACTATATATTTTTTCTTATACATTTCTATCATAAATTTACCATATAGATTTCCCCCATATTTAATTTTACTATTTCTGTGTTTAATATATTCTCAATTCACACACACACACACACGTGTTTTGTTGGTCATCGAACTAATCAAAAGTTGAGTTACTCGAGGTCAACAAAATCAAATTAGTCCTTGCTAATTATATTAAGATTCAGAAATATCTAATTCCTTGATGATTGAACTGCCACTGTTTTGTGTTTTTTACTGTTATATCTGTGTGCTAAACTCTAACCCATAAAGGAGAAAAAAAACATGGTAACTCAGGTCTGCTCAGTTGCTTATATGAAAAGCTTTGAGAGAAAGATTTGATTATTCCTTCTGCCTCTTTCCATGAAGGCTTTTTGAAGATGCTGTTGACAAACTGAATCTGATGGCTTTGGGAGGTTTCCTGTACCAGCTAAAAAAGGCCTCCCAATCCCAACTCTTCCAGTCAGTTACAAACACAGTCGATTATTCTTTGGCCATGCCAGGTATGCTTCTGGAACAGATATTATTTCAATTATGAATGGAAGACTGTTAACAATACATGTTTAAGAACCAGTAGTTGGATTCAAAATATTTTACTACATGGCTTGGTGGGTGTGGCATGGCTTGGTAGGCGTGGCTTGGTGAGCGTGGCGGGGGAAGGTTACTGCAAAATCCTCATTCCCTCTCGATCAGCTGGTATTCGGGAGGCAGAAAATAGATGGTGGAGGGGCCAGTCAGAGGTGGTATTTACCGGTTCTCAGAACTCAAAATTTCCGCTACTGGAACTGGTAGCGGAACCTGCTGAATACCACCTCTGTTAAGAACATTAATGCTGAAGGATCTGAACAGGTGCTGGTTGTTGTGGGGATTCAGATTAAGAAGCTGGTCTTAACCTTGAAAGTTTTCATCAGTCTGGAACCCATATTTCTGAAGACTGAGTTTTCTTGATTATTAAGATCTTGCAAAGGAGGCTACCCCATACTTGCTATGGCTTGATTTTTTATAAGGTAGGAACTTCTGTATCACCTCCCAAACTGTGAGATGTTATTTCTTCAAAGTTGAGGTTAGTCCCCACATTTGATTTTGAAAAGAGGTCAATATCTCTTTAACCTACCTTGTTAAAACTACTAGTAGAAGGTTTTAGATGTTCAATAGATGGGTTGTATTTTCATCCACTATTCATTCTTTCTAAATAAACAATGTATTTCACTGTTAATATTTTTCTTTGAATATTTTTCTTTGAAGATGTTTAACTTCTCGTCCAAGAAGCTTCTTCAGATCAGAATGGAAGGATTTATATTCCTTGAAAACATCTGATCATTTGCATTATTTTAAAGAGTCGTTGAGGCCACTTGGAACTTTACCTATGTCCTGAGGGTTAACTGAATAGTGCAAATGGATGTGGAGACCCATCATCCAGTTAGAGTTGAAGAAGCTTCTTGGATAAGAGCGAAATGTCTTCAAAGAAAAACAAAGTGCAGTTGCCTTGTGACTTAATCAGTCAGTCTACTAATTTTAAAGATATATAGTGCTTAATAATTTTTTCATTATTTTGCTTTTATTTTTTAGTATTATATACTTTAATTACTTGATTACTGTGTTTTATTGTATATTTTAGTAGTTTTTAGAATTGCATGGTTTGTATTTTATTGTGCTGTAAGTCACACTGGGGTAAACTTGATTTTGAAGTGTTATTTTCAAGATGTAAATATAATGAATGACTGAACTAATAGTAAGGAACAATGAAGAAGTTGGATGTGTGTGCATATACTGCATTATTTTAATCTTTAATTCATATTACAAGATAATTCTACTCATTCTTGTAGGAGAAATAAAATCCACTCAAGAAAGAAGTGCCCTTCACTTGTTCCGTCTAGGAGGAGCCATGCTCCGAATTGTGAGAAGTAGAAAACGGCCTTTGCTCCATCTTATGCGCTGTTGGCATCTAGTGGCTCCTCACTTAGTGGAAGTGAGTGACATCGGGGGTGGGAAGAATGAAAAAAATAAATAGTGGCTCCTCACTTAGTGGAAGTGAGTGACATCGGGGGTGGAAAGAATGAAAAAAATAAAGAGTTTATACTATTTTCACATTGCAATTATTTTTATTTTATTTTATTTAGACGAATTAAAAATGACCTCATTTCAGAAATTCTAAAGCAAGAGTGCCCAACCTTGGAAACTTTAACATTTGTGGACTTCAGCTTCCAGAAATTCACATGCTGGAAGTTGAAGTCCACAAGTCTTCAAGTTGCCAATGTTAGACAACTCTATTTTAGGAAGTATATTAAATCAAGATGCAATATTGTACAAGGAACAATGTTTTTAACATTAAAACAAATGAGAAATATTAACAGAGCAATTTTTTCTCAACCTGTTTTATTACCAGAGGCCTTCTGGAATAGCCCTATTTTAACTATTCTCTGCAAGGCCATAAGAGTGGGGCCATCTTGCCATCACATTTAAGTTGTTCCGAAGGAAGGAAGGAAGCAGCCACTAAGAACATCTGCATCCCAATTTTCTTCCATTCAGCTTCCTGATTAGAGGAAACTACCAGGTGCTCTCCATTCACTTGGATCAAGTGGATGTCTGAAACACCCACCTCCCAAAAGATGCAGGGTTTTCTAGATAATTAAGAGCATCTTAAATTGCACTTGGAGACCAACCGGCACCCAATACCATACCTATTACAGCAGCCTTATGTGGCAGTACTGGGACTGTACATATAAGCAATCATATTTTGCACCAGTTGAAATTTCCAAATGACCTGGTCCCATGTAGAACAAATTGTAGTATTCCAGATGTAGATTGCAGTAACCAACTTCAGAGCATCTAGTTAAGGTGCATAAAAAGATCTGTGAAAGTCAATAAAATTATATAAGAAAGATAAATGCTCTAGGATGAGTGGAGAACGATGATCTCTTTACCAGTGGACTTCAGCTCCCAGAATTCCTGAGCCAGCCATAAAGGAGCCATAGTTCTACCACCACCACCACCCCTGCTCTAGTCTAGGGGATTTTTTCTCTAACTTGGTGCCTTCCAGATATATTGGCCTATAGTTTCTGCATCCACAAAATGGAAGATGATGTAGAGGATGCATTTGTTAATACAATGCTGAATGGGGATGTTAGAATTTGGAAGACAACAGTTCCTGAGCAAAACCATGTGAGATGACTTGTACTGCTGTCATTTTCCATATACTTAACGTATTTTTCGGAGTATAAAACACCCCCCCCCCCCCCCCTAAAAGTGGGTGGAAATGTTGGTGGCCATACACTGAATACAACCATTTTTGGCTTCCTGAAACCCCACCCCACGCATCCCATTTTTCTCAAAAATGGATACACAGAGGGTTTGGGAGGCCTGTAGAGTGCTCCTGGGGGCTGGGAGGGCAAAAGCGAGCAAACAATGGGACAGGCAGAGAGTTTGGAAGGCCTGCAGAGTGTTCCTGGGGGCTTGGGAGGGCAAAAACACCCCCATGTTTTTGCCTTCCCCA